TTTCTGACATTGCATTCAATGTTGCTCTTTCTGAGGTCCACAGTGATGTGTGGAATCTTATGCTGCAGGAAATAGTGAAGCTCTTCCCAGCTCAAGGAACAGGAAGTCAGATTATCGCCCACTTTCTGCAGGAAGCACTGAGTCAGTTCCTCTTCCTGAGCTTCACAGACACATTCAATCAGCTTCCGGAGAGTCTCTTTAGATGGTCTACACATACAGAATTCTTTGTTTTATTTCTATGCCATGATAAATATAAAGTCAAAAACTGCAGAACTTTGTCCTGTGGTCAAACCTGAGAATCACTGGCCCCTGGTGACACAGTAGGACAGATAGAGAAACAGACAACATCTTGTATTCAGTCAAGTTCAAACACTGGACAGTCCAGAGTCTCAGAATGATGGCCAAATTGCTCAGGATCCTGGACAGCATCCTCTCTGACCACTGTTCCATATTCAGGTTAAGTGTGAGTTCATAAACAGTGACAGGAGTTTGAACCCACATAGACCTCAATGCCTGCACTATTCTCACCACCATATAACCATTCAGCCTGAAAAAAATGCACACTTTAAATATAAGCAAATCTCAATCAACATTTGAAATGTTTATTTATAATGCTGTCTGTACCTGAGTGTGTGTATGTTTTTGATGTGTCTGAAAAGAAGCCTGGTTCCTTTTAGAGAGATGGCTTTAGGTTTTAGAGTGAGGTTGAGTCTGTCAGAAGAGAAACGTAAGAATCTCCCCACAGACCTGCAGGTTCTGCTGGGAAAATGTCCTTCCAAACTGAGGGAGAAGCCAAGAACCTCCAACAGTAAAGTCACCAGCTGTAAATTCTCTCTGTACTGGACCACTTTAACTAGTGTTAACAAACACAGCTCAGAACAACTGAAAAAGACAATAAATACTTGATTAAAATAATTAAAATAAACATGACCCATTACAATTGGAAAAAAAGAACAACATATTGTATTTATGTGCAAAAAAAAGTATCAAAGTTAAAAATTATAAAAATAATTGTGGTTGAAGGGATTGTGGGGACTCAGAGCACAGAGTTCACTGGGCTTTTTTATTACTCAATTATAAAAAAAAAACTGCACTGAAGGGGAAAACACAGGATCCACCAACACAACAAGGCAGGTGAGGCAAGGGAGGACAGAGACGGGATGGACACAGTGGGGAACACCACACAGAAACATTGGATGTCATTCTGGCACAGGGCAGAGAACACGGGGAGAATAAAAAGGGAAGAACATCAGGAGGATAACAAGAGAGGAGAGGTGGTCTAAATGGTGGTTTACAAGAACAGTAGAGTGAAGACAAATAGGGAAGCACATGGCACATAAAAACAAACATAACAAAAGGCACATGCTCAGACAAAACATCAGTGCTGGGCAAGTTACTCTGAAAATGTAATCAAATTACTGATTACTCCGAAGTGTCACCGCTCTCGGCGTCTGTTCTGTGCAGTGAGCGGCTGAGAAGCAGCGCATTCAGTTGGCCGCACCGCAGCCGACTCGTCAATAAATGAGTACAAAACAGCGTGAAGCCTCACAGGGCTTGTATAGGAAGAATGCAGCCTCACTATGATGCAGACTTCCTATTGAGAATCCCCCATAGAGAAAAGCAGTGAGACCTGAGGTGGGACACTTGTGTGAAGAGAGGCAGAATGCTCTCCAGCTCTTCCTCTGGTATGGAGGTCCACTGTAGATTGAGTGAAACTGCAGTGCAGTGCTGCAGTGTGAAGCGCAGGGCCGCAGAGTGAACAGAGTCCAGCTCTCTGCTCTGCAGGTTAATGTAGTTCTTCACTGAACTCAACAGACTGGACACAAAACCAACAGAGCCGGACTCATAGATCCCTCCGATTACAGACAGCATGAAGGTAGAGCTCATCCTGTAAAGACATCATACAAATCATTGCAAATAAATCAAGATTTTTATTTTTAATAATTTATTATTCAGTTGGATATTTTATGTGAGAAAGAAAGGAAAACAATAAATCTCCATTTGGAGGTTTTCTATCATTTCTAAAGTGTTTTTGAGAGTGGTTTACCGTTTAAATTGAATCCTGTTCAAAAATGGCAAAATTTTTCTGACATTGCATTCAATGTTGCTCTTTCTGAGGTCCACAGTGATGTGTGGAATCTTATGCTGCAGGAAATAGTGAAGCTCTTCCCAGCTCAAGGAACAGGAAGTCAGATTATCGCCCACTTTCTGCAGGAAGCACTGAGTCAGTTCCTCTTCCTGAGCTTCACAGACACATTCAATCAGCTTCCGGAGAGTCTCTTTAGATGGTCTACACATACAGAATTCTTTGTTTATATTAGTTCATGTTGCTTTTGTGCAATAGATGAATAACAGTTTAGACAGAAGTGCCAGAGGTAAGAGTCTCTTACCTCAGCTGTGAGATGTAGGGCAGTCACTGAAGGAAACTTATCATTTCAGTCACTTCCTCTGAACTTCCTCTCAGCTCTACTCGTTTCTTCACTGTTTGGAGTTTCAGCACTTCCAGGAGGACGGAGCTCTTTCTCTGTGAGAGATCTATGATCCAGACATCAGGTGACTGGAAAACTGACTGTAATGCTGGAAGGAAACTCCTGTCTGTTTGATTCTCATAGTTCTTCAAAAGTGAGCAAAGATCCAGCAGGAAATCACTCTGTTTAATTCTGTCAGACCACTGATAAGGAAAAGAGCTGTAGGTGCAGACTGTTGTTAACAGTTTCAGCATCTGATCTTCTGTCTGTGTCTCAGTCTCTGCTGCTTTAATGAAGACTTTCAGAACAAACTGCACTGCATGATTGTTGTTCCAATGATCAAATCTGTTTCCCAAAGAACATTTTTTTATACAAAGATAAAAACATCTAGGTTACCTATGTAATCCTGTTCCCTAAGAAGAAACCATACCATACCATACCATACCACATCACCGAAATCATTAATAGAAAGAAATGCACATCATCAGATTCTAATTGTCTGAGGAAGACACACAGGCCTGACCGAGGTGTGGGAATGCAATGTGGCGTCTTATAGTTTGACTAATAGCAGAAGGCACCTTATTATATTTACCATATTGTTCTGAATATAAGACGACCCTGATTATAAGATAACCGCCCCCCCTTTCAAGATGTACCTTTTGCAAAAAGTGTTTTTGAAGACTAAATCTTGTCTTGACGTTTTACATTATTTAGGAATTACATTATGCATACATAACACATTTCCTTTTGAAAACTAAGCAAATTTACTTTACAAAAATGGTTGAGCATAGCATAGGGTGAATAGCAGGACCTCACTTTGAGGAACTCTAGTTCTGTACCAAACAGGCACTGAACTGGATCAGACTCTCTTTGTTCATACCAAGACACAAAGATTTGCCATTTTGCTGCATACAATTTTCTAGTAGAGAGAGCCCTCAAGCTCAAAATCATATCCACGACCTCATCTGAAAGACGCAAGTCTATGAGCTGGCACCCTTCAGGGGCTAGGACCAAAACTTCTAGATCTTCGGCCTGGGATGGAAGATCGTCCCCCAGACTTGAGACAGACGGGACCCTCACATGGAGTGCCACCCAGGAGAGAGATCAGGGGCCTCATTTATAAAACTTTACATAGAATTCATCCTAGAAGTGTACGTACGCACGAAAGCTAGATTCTGCGTACGCACAAAAGTTTTCAGATTTATTTATAAAACCATTCGTATGCCAGAACCTGCGCAAAAATCCTTTTATAAATCCCAGTCAGAGAAAGATTGTGCGTACGTGCATTTCCACCCCGTCTCCTCCCCGAAATCACCATATATGGAGCTTACAACGCCTAGTTTTACTATTCATAACCTCATCTGCATATCATTTCCATGCGTATTCCCATCCACGTGACACCATGTTTAACTCCATCAAACGTACAAGACATTAAGGAGATACGGACTATAAATGCCATTTCTGCCATACAATTTACATAGCTAAAAATCATCCAGTATCCTTGTTATGTTTTAGAATAAATATATCAAAAAATCCATAAAAACAAAATTGTATAAAATACTTCTCAGAGAAACTTTTTAGAAAAGAGTTGATTCATTCTTTTACACTGACCAAATAGTAGGCTATTTTAATTGTTTGAAATAAATCAAATTTATGCCGTTTTGCTGATAATGTACACATATGTTTTAGGGTATTTATATAGGTTAGTTTGGCCTACTTATACTTTGCAGTAGAAAATGCAGTTGTCTGACTCAGCGCGTCACTGACAAAATAAAAAAAAATATGAAACGTGCAAATCTTACCGTTTCCTTTAAATTCTATCCTTCAAATATGTGACTATCACAGAAGGAGTCTTCCTGCACACATCAACATCTCTGTGCAGCAGTAGCTGTACAGTATTGTCATTGGACCTATTCAAACCGGCCGATGGACCGTTCATCCACCGAACCCAGCAGTCTCGGTCTCCCATAATATCAAAGTGCGCATCATTTCCTTGTTCTCACTAAAAATATTTTCTCATAACGTGAGATCTGCAGTTTAGTTTAAGGAGGAATTATTGTGCGCCTAGCACTCCTCCCTGTCATTAAAACATAGCATGCCACAGGAAAAGTCATCAAAAATATAGCGCATCCACTACAAATATTTCTATTCATATAATATTTCACTTCTGCATAATGACTTTATGTAATCTCAGTGCTCATCTCCATTAATGAGTGTCATTTTTAATCTAATTGTTTATATCAAAATGAAAACAGTTTAAAATACTTAATTGTTTTGCTCACTGTAGTAAAAGTGTGCGTACGCATGGGTCAGAGTTTGCGTGCAGGTGCGCAAATTTTCCCATCAAGTTTGTTTTTATAAATCCCATCTTTTGTGTAGGAACTAGGAAGTGGCATACGCCTCTTTCAGGGCATGTTTTGTGCGTACGCAACGGTTATAAATGAGGCCCCAGGTCTGACAACCAAACTCGGGCTGGCCAGAATGGAGCTAAGATCAGGTGAACTTGTTCTTGGCAGACCCTTGCTAGAACTGTCAGAAGCAGAGCTATCAAAGGAAACGTGTACAAGTGTAGCCTCAGCCACACTTGTACCATGGTGTCCAGCCCCAGAGGAGCCTGCCTCGTCAGGATATCTGCCCCCAGATTGAGATATCCTGGAACATAACTTGCTCTCAAGAAGAGAAATTTGGTCTCTGTCCAGAGCAGAACCTGCTGTGCCTGTCTGAAAAGAGGACCTAAATGCAGTTCATCCTGGTGATTTATGTAAGAGACTACTGTAGTGTTGTCTTTGCAGACTAACACATAGTAGCCTTGCAAATAATCAAGAAAGTGATGCAGTGGGAGATATACCACCCTAATCTTGAGGCAACTGATGTGCCACGAAAGTTGAGGGCCACTCCAAAACCTTGTTGAACATCGAGAACCGCACCCCAGCCTGAGAAAGAAGCATCTGTTGATAGAAATGTTTCATGTCAACACGTCCAAAGAGCTGATCCTTGGTTCAGAAACCTCTGTGTGCGTAATCCTTATTACCCTGGAAGGATGGTTGTGATGATGGAACCCCTTGAGCCTGAGCCAAAGCTGAAATGGTCTCATGTGCAGCAGATTTAATGAGATAACACTGGCTGCTGCTGCCATGAGACTCAGCTGCCTCTGAATGTGAATGACAGTTACAGATATTTCCTGGCCTAGCCTGATGACACTCGTGGCAGTTAAGATGGCAAATACACGTGCAGAGACAATCGTGCCTGCATCACTGTAGAATCCCATACAACACCAAGAAATGTGGTTCTCTGAGCAGGAGAAACACACTCTTTTTGAGGTTCAATCTGAGTCCCAAACACTTAATGTAAGCAAGCACAACATCTCAATGTTGTTTTGAAAGCTCCTTCGATTGGGCCAAGATAAGTCAATGGTCTATGTAATTGAATACAAGAATGCCCTGAAGTTGCAGAGGAGCCAAGGCAACATCCATGTACTTTGTGAAGGCTAAGAAGAGTTTGAAACTGATGAGCTTCGCCCCAAAAGCTAACCTGAGAAGCTTCCTGTGCTCTGGCTGAATCTTGATGTGAAAATAAGTGTCCTTGATATTTATTGTTACAACCAATCTAAGATTGAATTTAAGACACAATGAGCTTGAGCATTAACATCCTAAATCTGTATGTCCTCAGATTCAGGCAATGCCGATCTAATACTGGATGTACACCCCATCCTTTTTGAGTACTATGAAGGACCTTCTGTAAAAGCGTGCTTCTCTCTTGGGAGGAGGTACATTTTCTATGGCCCCCTTTGCCAAGAGATATTGCAGTTCTTGATTTAAACATGTGGACGGAACTTGAATCACCAGCGTTTCTAATACCCCAAGGTGGGCGGGAGGCAAATTCAATTCTGTAAAATTTCTTCACAATATTTAGATCCCACTGAGAAATATTGGACAAAAGTTGCCACACTGCCACAAAATTTGACAGAGGGATAATTTTTTCAATGGGATTGATCTGTTTGGGGCCCTGAAACAATGCATTGGCAGGGAACCCTTAAACAAGCCTCAGAGAGAGATCTTTGGTGAGTGCCAATAGGGATAGGTTGAAGTACCCTCTAAGGGCATCCTGGATTGTTATTTGGCCTCCTGCTATCTGTAGATAAAGGTGTTTACTGCATTGCCAAACAGACCAGAAGGCAAAACCGGGGCATCAAGGAGAAATGCCTTGTCCTTCTTCTTGATGTCAGTTAAAATGCTTGGTGCTCTGTGGCCACCATCACAGCCATAGAATGGCTGATGTCTGCCTGCTGTGTTGCACAGAGTGCCAGATCTGTGGCTCGGTGAAGTTCCAAAACTGCCTCTTGGCTTAATCCCCCACCATAATCCAGGTCTTTTAGTCTTCCCCACCAAGTTCGATATGACTCTGCAAGGCTTGGTGGACAAGGCAGGCCTCCTCCATAACTATGCCAATAAAGGGAAGAGATAGTCTAGGAGCATCTCTTCGACCTTCAGCATCAGCCCATAGCCCTGTCTGCACATACTAACCATAATAGAGTATGTTTAAGTGGCGTTAGTATGTACTCAAACAGAGTACAGATACTTACGATCTTGACAGCTCAGTGTGGAGATCTGGAAAGAATGGGAGATGGCAGTGGGAAGGTTGTTCTCTACAGAATGTAAGAAAACAATCATCTAGTTTAGAATAGACAATCGAGGACCGTGCATGCTCCTCACCCATGAAGAGAACACACAACTTATGTGAATTGTCCCTCGTAATAAAGTGAGGGCACGGCGTCACACTCTTTGCCTGACATTATATACTCTAATTCCTGATCTTCTTGAAGCAGCGCGCACACACTCTTTATGATTCATTTGCACACACACGTGCTCAACCGACATGCAGCTCCTGAAGACAAAGAAGCTGATGATGTGCACTTCTGATGTCTATATATGATGTGACGTGCTATGCTAAATCATCATGCCATGCTGTCTGCCAACTGATTGAAGTGTTTTGACACATGCTTCAGACACTGGTTCATGTGCAAGCATTCCCAGCATCAATGCCATGATGCAGCAACAAATCACTACTCAAAGGGGAGTAGTGTGTTTCTATGCAAATTTAATCTTCCTTTGTTATTAAGCTTAATGAGTATATCATATGAAAGAATAAAGATCAATGTAAAACCAATCATTAAAAAAAGTTTCTACTCTATTTAAAAAACAACACATATTTGTTACATTAACAAATTCAAAAATGAAGTGATACTGATTGAAATGTTGGCAAATGAATATCCAAAAGTTCAGGTACCTCAGCTGTGAGATATAGGGCAGACACTGAAGAAAACTCTTCATTTCAGTCTCTTCCTCTGAACATCCTCTCAGCTCTACTGGTTTCTTCTCTGTTTGGAGTTTCAACACTTCCAGGAGGACGGAACTCGTTCTCTGTGAGAGATCTATAGACCAGACATCAGGTGCTGACTGGAAAACTGACTGTAATGCTGGAAGGAAACTCCTGTCTGTTTGAGTCTCAAAATTCTTCACATGAGAGTAAAGATCCAGCAGAAAATCACTCTGTTTAATTATGTCAGTCATTTCATAAGGAAAAGAGCTGTAGTTGCAGACTGATGATAACAGTTTCAGCATCTGCTCTCCTGTCTGTGTCTCAGTCTCTGCTGCTTTAATGAAGAGTCTCAAAACACTCTGAATGGCAAGACTGCTATTCCAATACTCAAACCTGTTTGCCAAAGAATTTTTTTTTTTAAACAGACAGAGTACCACAGAATCTGACAAAGATAAAAACTCAGAAATTCTACTTGTGTACTTGTATGAGAATTTAATCTTCCTTCTTATTAACAGTTTTGTAAGTGCATCAGATGAATTTATAAAGATTAATGTAAAACTGATAAATACAAAAAAAAAAGAAGAAAAAAAATATATATTTTAGAACCCAAATTTGTTACATAAACCAATTCAAAATACAGGGAAGTGATATTGATTGAGAAGTAGTTAAGTGAATCTCCAAAAGTCCAGGTACCTCAGCTGTGACATGTAGAGCAGACACTGAAGGACACTCCTCATTTCAGTCTCTTCCTCTGAATATCCTCTCAGCTCTACTGGTTTCTTCTCTGTTTGGAGTTTCAGCACTTCCAGGAGGATTGAGGTCTTTCTCTGTTTGAGATCTACAGACCAGACATCAGGTGCTGACTGGAAAACTGACTGTAATGCTGGAAGGAAACTCCTGCCTGTTTGAGTCTCATAGTTCTTCACATGTGAGCAAAGATCCAGCAGGAAATCACTCTGTTTAATTCTGTCAGTGCTTTCATAAGGAAAAGAGCTGTAGGTGCAGACTGATGATAACAGTTTCAGCATCTGCTCTCCTGTCTGTGTCTCAGTCTCTGCTGCTTTAATGAAGAGTCTCAGAACAAACTGTGCTGCATGACTGCTATTCCAGTGATCAAACCTGTTTCCCAAAGGAAATTAAATTGTTGTATGAATAAACATTTCACAAAACTCTGAAGGGATTCACTCACCGGATGAGCTACAATGCTGTTTAAAATCCTGCCGCACTAGAGTGCCACTAAATAACAGTTTTTTTATTACATTAAATTTACATTAAATTCATTAAATTTGTCACAAATTGTCATTAATGTGCATACAGACTTCACCCTGTGCTGCAAGATAGATTTCACAAGTTCGCACTTACATATAATCAGATTGAGTGAATAATATGCATATTTGGTTTGCTGTCCGAGGAGAGGGCTCCAAGTGTGGAATATAGCCCGAACTTATCCCCATATCCCCAAGCTGGGATAAGAATAGTTAGGTGTGAGGAGTTGGGGTGGAGGAGGGATGCCGGAAAACCATTATTGGACAGAGGTGAGTTGGCTGTATGTATATTTACTATTGTGCTAATTAAGTTGATTATCTGAATGTGCTCCACCTGTTCTGAATTAGTTGATTATCTGAATGTGCTCTTCCGGGACTTAAATAAAACATAATTTAGTTGTATAGCTTGAATAAAATATGAACACATAGGAGAAAATGTATAATAAACATAGCCCTTTCTAATCTTTAAAATGTATCTAAAATGTATTACATTAATTTCACTGAAAGAAAAAAGTTACACTCAAGACATTCGGTTACTTTTATGATCACATATTAAGTTTGGTATTGCTTTGTTGACTTCGAAATTGAGCTTGCATGCATAGAATGTGCACATCCGGGTTGCTATACTTCTGAGTCGTCCTAGACAAAAACTCAAAAATTTGTCTGCATGCATGCAAATTTTAGCTATTCCTTTGATATAAAGAGTTTAATAAGTACATCAAATGAAAGAATAAAGATTAATTTAAAACTCAGATCATTATAAAATAGTCTATTTTATTCTAAAAACAAATCTGCAACATAAACAGATTCAAGGTATAGTGACATTGACTGCAGTAAGTGAAAATCCAAAAGTTCAGGTACCTCAGCTGTGAGATGTAGGGCAGACACTGAAGGACACTCCTCATTTCACTCTCTTCCTCTGAACATCCTCTCAGCTCTACTGGCTTCTTCTCTGATTGGAGTTTCAGCACTTCCAGGACGACGGAGGTCTTTCTCTGTGAGAGATCTATGATCCAGACATCAGGTAACTGGAAAACTGACTGTAATGCTGGAAGGAAACTCCTGCCTGTTTGAGTCTCATAGTTCTTCACATGTGAGTAAAGATCCAGCAGGAAATCACCCTGATCAAAAGCATCATGCTGATCAAACTCGAAAGGGAAGGTTTTGTAACTGCACACAGATGACAGAGTTGTAAATCTTGTTCCTGTATCGGTGTCACTTTCTACTGCAGCAACACTGAGATTCAGCAAGAATCTTACTGCAGACATCCATCTTTCTTCATTATAAACGTCCCCAAACCTGATAATATACAAACAAAAATGAAACACTTCATTCATTTCAGAAAACTTACATCACATAATATAATACTTTACATCCTACACAAATAAATAATTCAGCAAGTAGACCCAGGGCTCTAATTTGAGAATATCTTAACTGAAATGCAGTGCTATATGGGATGTCATTTGTGCAAAGTCTGTGGGTATGAAAAAGGAGGCTGGAAATTTTCTTGGACGTACCCAGTAAGTCTTAAGACCTATTTACACCAAGAATGATAATTGCAACTACAAAGTTTTAATAATCGCTCTTATTTTATGAGAATTGGTAAATCCACACCACAGTTATAGCTATAACACAGAGGAACAATATCATTAGAATCACTTTCAGAATGATTTTTTTCCAGCTAATGAACGATAAAAACATTGACAGCCAATCAGAATCCACCCGACTTTAAAGAGCTTGAGCATTTAAAGTGACAAGTGACAAAACGGCATCACTCGCTTATAATAAACAGAATATTATTATCTGTTGGTGTGGATGTTAGTATAATTATTCTTATAGTAATAATTCTTGGTGTAAGCGAGCCTTTATGCGCAAGTGGACTGGTGAAATCACAAGCACAAAGCTTTAATTAATTTGGTAATGTGCAATTTAATGAGGAGTTTATTCCCTGTAAACAACAGTGATATAAATGAAGTCAGTCCATTCATAAGAAGTGAATGTAGTGAAAGTAATGCATTAGAAGAATAGAAAAAACTGTCTCATTTTTTATTTTTTTTTACAGTATCCTTCTTGAATAGCAGGCACTCCTTACATACACATGAAAAATATGGTGCTCATCAGGACTATCTGGATGTTGGCTCCATTAAATGATAGAGAATGTAAGTATAATTAATCATATTGATCTACTGAAATACACCGTCATGACTAGTGTTAACTGTTATTGTCAGCTACATCATTTAGCACATATATTTTGGTAGCATCTGCTGGTGAAACCTACAAGGTTCATCTACAAGGACCTCCCATAACTACACCTATAATTTGTGCTTGTACATCTACAGATATGGTGAGCACTCACACCCACTGACAGTTGTAAGTTGCCCTGCATGAAAACTGCACTTGGATTTAGGTATTCACACAAAAACGAGACAAGATTTAGTGAATGGTCAGAATGCATCACCGTATACCTAACACTGATAAAAACAGAGCCCATAATCTAACAACACTCATTAACACCTGAAAACATGTTCCAACTTTTACAGAAATCATATTTCACAATAACTGTAAGTTGCCAAAAATTCTCTTACCTCAGCTGTGGGATGTAGGGCAGACACTGAAGAAAACTCTTCATTTCACTCTCTTCCTGTGAACATCCTCTCAGCTCTACTGGCTTCTTCTTTGTTTGGAGTTTCAACACTTCCAGGACGACGGAGGTCTCTCTGTGAGAGATCTATGATCCAGACATCAGGTAACTGGAAAACTGACTGTAATGCTGGAAGGAAACTCCTGCCTGTTTGAGTCTCATAGTTCTTCACATGTGAGTAAAGATCTAGCAGGAAATTACTCTGATCAAAAGCATCATGCTGATCAAACTCGAAAGGGAAGGTTTTGTAACTGCACACAGATGACAGAGTTGTGAATCTTGTTCCTGTATCGGTGTCACTTTCTACTGCAGCAACACTGAGATTCAGCAGGAATCTTACTGCAGACATCCATCTTTCTTGATTATAAACGTCCCCGAACCTGATAATATACAATCAAAAACAAAACACTTCATTAATTTGAGACAACTTACATCACATAATTATATCCTACACAAATAAATAATTCAACAAAAAGACCCAGGGCTCTAAT